AGGAACTGGCTTGGAAAATAGATTTGGGAGTCATGAGCTTATTGTGGGACTAGAGGATCCTGCCCAGGGAGAATGTAAGTAAGGAGGAAGAGAGGTCTGGGGTCAGTGAGGAAAAGGGGGTGAGGAAAGTATCTTCAAGGAGCTAGAAGGAAAACAGAGAGACAGACAGACAGACAGAGTAGTCCCCTAAATTAAGGGAGAGAGGTTTTATTTGAATTCATATCTGTCTGAGTCCAGCGCCTCCCTGCCCAGGCTGCCTTTCCACTGCAGCTGTGTTATGGTGGGAATGTGAGGGAAGGAGTGAATATTTGAGATGATGTGCATTTGAGACCGAAAGACTACAGATATTTTAAATGCTGATGAAAAAGAATTGGTAGAAAGAAATAATTTGAAGACTTTGGGGAGTAAAGGGGGAAGATGATTTATACAAGAGGAGCCTGAGGAACCATCCCAGAGCAAGGTGAAGAGAAGCCTCATCCACCAAGCAGAGAGAGGAGAAGGTAAAGGCAAGTGTGTGTTGCAGATGTTCTGAGAGGGTGGGAGTGGAAGGTAAGGCGGAGGGGAGTTCTGTTTAATTGCTGAAAGTAAGGGAGGTAGGATCAAGTTACAGACTTAAGGAAGGTGGTGCCAGCTTGATATAGCTGGTGTGGGTGCGAGCGGGCTTTGTGTGTGTGTGTGTGTGTGTGTGTGTGTGCACGCGCGCTGCATGCCTGTACGTGTCTATGAGTGGTGTATGCGTGCGTGTGCATGTGCCTATGCATGCGTGCTCAGAAGGCTAGAAGTTGATGTCAGGTGTCTTCTGCAGTTGCTCTCCACCTTTTGGGTGGGCGGGGAGCTTTTTGGCCCCAGCTTGCCTGGCACGCTCTGTGTAGACCAGGTTGGCCTCTTATCTCACAGAGCTCTGCCTGCCTCTGCCTCCCAACTGCTGGGATTAAAGGCATGTGCCACCATGCTCCGTCTTCCACCTTATTTTTGAGACAGGGTCTCTCACTGAGCCTGGATCTCACTGATTGCCTAGACTGGCTGGCCATCATGCCTTCAGGATCCTCCTGTCTTTGCCTTCCAGGGCTGAGATTATAGGTCTACAACACTACTCCCAGCTTTTTATGTGCATGATCAGGATCTGAACTCAGTTCCTCATGCTTGTGTAGAAGCTTTTTACCCACTGAGCCATCTCTCTAGTTCCCAGAATGTGTTCATGAAGGCCTGAGGAGCCTAGCCAATGGGGTTTGAGAGTGACCCAGTCCTGCTGTTCTGTATGTTCTTCGAACCCCTTTCCTCCAGGAGGCAGAAGAGCCAGAGTTAAGGCAGATGTTAAAGTGATGAGGGTTCATTGTATATGACAGAAGAAAAGACACTAGTTATTGAGGGTATCAGCATATCTAGCCAGCAGAGAAGGAAGTCTGGAGGGGAAAGGACAGAACAGAAAGAAATGGAGGGGCTATAGAACTAGAGTCCAGAGGGAGTTCATCTGTGAGACCTGGGTAGTAAGAAAGTCCTTGTTCCAGGTGTGGAGATAACCTGTCTATGAGTAAGGCAGGTGCTGTGAAGGAGACAAAGTGAGGGGACTGAGAAAGGGTGACAGGGATGCTTGTGGAGTTTTCTGTTGTTTGATTGAAATACCTTTGTACTGTTTGACTTTTTCAGTTTTTAAACTAGAAAAAGATACAAAAGAAAAAGGTGCAAACTTTTCTATGACCCCAAAGAAGAGAACCTTTACATGAGAGCAGGGGCAGAGCAAGCCACAGAGATAGGGAGTCTGCGGTTATGAAGTGGGACCCTGGAGAATGCCGTCTGGATCCCGATGTCGTGTAGTACTGGGAAGTGTTCCCACCCTGCCATTGTTTACAGGCAGGAAGTGGAAGCCCAAGACCTGTGTGGCAGCAGCAGAGCCAGACCAAGACTAGCCTTTCCCGCTTTCCCGGATTCAGTTCTCAGCTGCTCAGCCTTCTCAGCTTCTTGCTGCCCCAGCCAGCCTCATGGCACACATGCCCAGGTGTTTGCTGACTATTGAGCTCTTTGCCGTACCCGGCCTCCCACACCTCAGTTCTCAGTGCAAGAGTGTGGGTGTGTGTAGAGGTGGCTGTGTCAGCCCCTGTCTGTTTCCTGCTCTCTTCAGAGCCTGGCACAGTGGCAGCCTGGAGACGGAAAACCACAGTGATGATACAGTGTTTACATCCTTTCAGATGACCCACTGTCCCTCCTGTTTTGCTACGTCATCCAGGCCTTCCCTCTGGGAGCATGTTTAAATAGCAGTAAAGCCTCTGACTATACTTTATCAGCCCAAAGCCAGACAGTTGCAGAGGACTAGGATTGGTGGCAGGCAGCTGAGAGGTTGTAACTGGAGAAGGAACCTTTAATGTTTAGAGCATTCTTCAAGAAAAATAGTGCTTTCGTGCTCATCAGGTCTTTGAAGAGTGACCATTGCATACCCCCCCCGAATTATAGACAGCATATGGAGCATAGGTATGTTTTGTGTAAAAATGAAAATAGCACCGGGCATGGTGGCACACGCCTTTAACCCCACAATTTCAGAGGCAGAAGCAGAGGCAGGTAATCTTTGAAAGAACGATCCCAGCCTGATCTACATCACGAGTTCCAGGCCAGCTGCAGCTACAGATCTCAAAAAGACTGAAAAGGGGGGAGGGGTATTTTGCTGCTTTCCAAGTAGTGGCTCAGATAAACTGGGTATTTGGGCAGCCACCCCCTTTTTGCCACTAGGAGAGACCATGAGTGGCTTGTGATTTCTCCTCATTTGGCAGACTGAGGATTGAGGGGGGAGCCAGGACCTTTGCTGTCTGCAGTTGGCTGCCTGGACACAGCTGAGGAGTTTTCCACACAGTCACATTGGAGCAGTGATGTATGGGGACAGGAGAGGATCACAGAGGCAGGGATGAGGTGTGGTTTACAGAGAGGTGTATTTTCTTTTAGTTTTTTTCACCTGTGTATAGTTTGGGGGCTTTGTAGTGATGCTTTGGAGAGGTGGCATTCCTGATTAGGAAGCTTAGGAGGATGCTTCAGCCTCTTTGAGAGCAGTCTTAGGCTTGAAAGCCTGCCTTTCCTTTTATATATTAAGGACACACTGTTACGAGTTTAGAATGGAGTTGAGTTGACCTGTCTTGAATCACACACCCTTTCCCTGTGGAGTTTAGGCAAGTTTTGGTGTGGGGACACAGGTACTTGGTGTGACAAGAGAGAACCTGTTTTTCTGTGGCGATGGGAAGGGACTCCTCTATTGACTGGCTGCTTGGCATCCTGAGAGTGGAGACGCAGGCATGTGGCAGTACCTTGAAGCTTTGAATTGTTTCCTTCACATGATCTGGGGAACTTTGGTTCCTTCTCTTGGAGATAAGGTAACATTTAGGATTCTAATTTGGTTCTGAAGACTCGCCCTGCCTTCTGCCAGGCCATCTATCTCTGACTTTGTAGTTCATAGGGAGTGACAGATGTTATGGGTCCAGTGGCACACATAGACTCCAAGAAGGAATAGAGCTTGATACTGATTTTACTAAATCATTCTACCTTGAAGCTAGATGTGGTGGTGCATGCCTATAATCCTAGCATCCAAGAGCTGAAGCAGGAGTATTGCTGTAAGTTTGAGGCTGGCCTGGGTTTTATAGTAAGACCTTGTCTCATAAAATAAAAGAAGGAAAAAAAAAAAAAAACAAAACAAGGCAGGGAGAGAAATACTTTTGTATTTCAGCTTTGGAATTTTTACCTGCATGGACTGGGGTCTATAGTGCTTTGTTAGAGATGAGTGTTGGCTTTCCACTTTGAGACCAGGAATCTACCTACAGAGGGCCTGCTGGGAAAAGTGGGGAAGGAAGCAAGATGGGCTGGGGTTCATCTGCCATCTCTGGAGCCTTAGCTGCCTCATGTAAGGCCTACTTTGTAAGGGAGGACATACTGTCATCCATTCCATCTGTTCACCTTACCTCCTAGACTTGAACAAAATTAGAAAGCCATTACCTCCTAGACTTGAACAAAATTAGAAAGCCATTACCTGGAGCCTTGAACAGTCCAACCTAGTTAGAGTGCTTATCTGCAGTGAGACAAGGGGAGAGCAGCAGAATATAGAACTATCCTCATCATGAAAAATACCTGGTGCCGGGTGTGGTGGCACATGCCTTTAATCCCAGCACTCAGGAAGCAGAGGCAGGTGGATCTCTGTGAGTTCAAGGCCAGTCTGGTCTACATAGTGAGTTCCAGGACAGCTGGGGCTACAGGGAGAACCTGTCTCAAAAAGATAGGAAGGAAGGAAGGGAGGGAG